GATTTAATTCTTAACTCAGGCTTTCCATCCCTAGGTTGATCACTGGAGAGCCCGGTTTCAACCCCTTCCCCCTTCAAACCTAGTTTAAAGCCCTCCTGATCAGCCTCGCTAACTTATGGGCTACAGTCCTCTTTTTCTTCCTAGACAGATGAATCCCATCTGATTTTAAGAGACTAGGTACCATGGAGTTTGCCCCATGGTCAAAGAAACCAAAATTTTGATGGTGGCACCAATCCTTTAGCCATCTGTTGAGGAGTTGGGCTTTTTTACTCCACTCAAAAAAAAAAAACAAAAAAACAAAAAAACCCAAAATAATACCCTGGGCAGCCGCAGCCTCTTTTGAGTTGGGAAACACTGCAGCAGGAGACAAGATTTCCTTGTTTTTATGGGTGTGCTGAGTGTCCCAAGCCCTTTCCTTGCTATTGGTTTGGCTCAAAGTGGTGCAGGAGAACCATGGCTGCACTGGGGGGTGGGACGGTGTCCCCTGCACTCAAGGAGAGGACATAAAGGCTATTCCAGTCAAATCTATCTGACCACTGGGAGATGGGATCAGTGTTAAGGCATGAAGTATCCTCTCCCTGCCAGGGAAGCTTTGCTCCTGCTAAGGTGTTCTTGCAGAAAGTTCACAACCACCCCACAGAGGGATTTGGGAAGGCTGCCCACACTTCAGGAAACACCTGCTTCCCAGGAACCTCAATCCAGATCTACCTCTTAAACCAGCACAAATTCCTCTGGCTCAGCAAAGACACTGCCACTCCCTCCTGCCAATGCCGGGTGACGGCCTCGCGTCTCCCGGCCAGCTGGGTCAGGCACGGCATAGGAAACCATGGAAGGGACATTCACCAGCAGCTAGGAAGGGTGAGTGGAAATTCAAGTATGCTTTCCTCAGCATGTGGCCCAAGGAGGGCATCGGGAGCCCCAGCCTGGCACGAAGGTCCTGGACATCCCCATTCGAGGGCATTCTTTGCATCCACCGTCTTCCCTGCTGGATGTCTGCCTGCGCTGGCGTGGCCACGCAGATATCCACAGATGCAATGTGCATCTGTAAATGCTAAAAATAATAAAAAGTGCAACGACGTCAGCTTCTTTCAAACAATCCACATTGCTCTGTTACCGTCAGAGGAGGGAGGTGTCAAGGCAGCCGGAAAAAAAACCCCTAACTGGAACAGTAGATTGTAAATTTCTCACAGCTTGCACATTACAGTGTAACTGTTCCCAAGGAGTCGCAGAGGGAACCTGTCTCTTCCTGCTGCAGCGATCAGGCCCTTCTCCCAGCAACTCTCCTGCCTGCCTCGCATCCTCCTGCCCTCTCGACAGCCAATCAAACCTATTGGATTTCTTCCAATTAATTAAGGAGGGAGGAGGATGGAGGAGCATAGAGCACAGGAGAGGGAGGGGAGGAAAATGAGCAGGAACTAAGCACAGTCCTCAGGTTTGCATGAACGATGCCTTTGCCGTAAACAACGGGAAGGAGGGTCAGCCAGCCAGCCCCCCTCCCAGGGCGACCAAGACCTGAGCCAGCCACAGTCCTGGTCCCAAAAGGAGCTTCAGGCTTGGAGTGAACGAGGGAGACCATTCAGCAGATCCACCCCAGAGTGGTTTGTTTTGGAACTTTTTCTTCTCTTTTTGGTTTAAAATGTCACTTGGTTTTGATTTTTTGGTTTTGTTTTTTTGTTTGTTTTTCTCTCTTCCTCCTCTGCCTCCTCCTCCTCCCCCCTAAAGAGAAGCCCCTTCCAGTGATTCAGGGCAGGAGCTGCAGGAACGGTGGTTCCTGCAAGGCCCAGGAGGCACTGGTCACTTGTGATGCTGAGCCGTCTTCTTCCGTTTCCTTTTAAAGAAGCAGCAGCACTTAGCTTCCTCCACCACCTCCACCTCTGCCTGCGCTGTGATGGGCGCGTTGGAGTGTGCTCCCGTCGGGTCGTCCACATTCAGCTCCCCGTTGGTTGAGCTCACCATCTGCACTGATCTTCCGTGTCGATCCGCAGCCAAATGAGATGTCAGGTACGAGGTATTTGTCTGTCGGCTTGGCTGGATCTCCCACTCCCCTCGGCGATCTGACGACGCCTGATTGCGAAGGGCTTGCTGGGATGGTCGATCCCGGTGGATGTGGCTGTCTCTTGTTACTGCAGATGTCCCAGAATCTGCATGAACAGATCCCACAGGAGTAGGAATTGGCCTGCCGACCCAGTCATAGGCATAGTCAAAGGTGTAGCCTCTCTTCTCAAACAGCCCCGTGAAGATGGTTCGCAGGTAATCCTAGTCTGGCCTCTCAAAGAAGTCTAATCGCCGAACGTAGCAGAGGTACGTGGCCATCTCCTCTGGAAAGTTCTCACAGAGAACTTCGACCAGAGTGTTTCTCTTTGTGTCGCCGATCTTCTGATACCTCTCTTTTAAGGTGTCAGCCTTCAGTCCCTGCCAGGGCAGGCTGCCTCGGAGGAAATACATGAACATATGGCCCAGGGTTTCCAAGTTGTCTCGACGACTTGGCTCTTTGCCAAGGTGGGTGTTGATGGACATGTATCTCGCCGTTCCAGTTAAGCTCTTGTGCTCCCTGTAAGGTATGTGTTTTTTGGTTTCCGGGTCAATGTACTCCTTTGCCAATCCAAAGTCTATGATGTGGACGACGTGCTCCTTCTTATTGCCTTGCCGGCCAATGAGGAAGTTTTCTGGCTTCACATCTCGGTAGATGAGGTTCTTGGAATGCACGTATTCCATCCGAGAGGTCAGCTGGATGGCGATCATCAACACCGTCTTCAGGGTGAATGTCCTAACACAGAGGTCAAACAAATCTTCCAAGCTGGGACCAAGCAGCTCCAGTACCATGGTGTTGTACTTCCCACATGGCCTGAGGTAATACACCTGGGGAAACCCTTCAGCTGCACTTCCAAGTTGTTTATAAAATCTGTATTCTAAATGAAGTTGTGGTGCCCAGGATTTGATTGGTTCCAGTTTGATCGCTACATATTCATTGGTATAGAGATTTTTACCTAGTCTGAGTTCTCCAAAGTTCCCACACCCAATCTTCTTGCCCACTCTGAAGTTGGGTCCCACCATAAGAACGCCAGAAGATGCCGATGAGCTTGGTCGAGAACCATGCCCGCTCCTTCCCGGCATTCCCTTCGTCGTCCGCTGCCTTTCATCCTTATCCCTATTAGGATGGTCCATGATCTTAGTGAAATATCTCTGCCAGCAAGCTGGCAGAAAGGATTTGGAGTACACACCCTTCTCCTTAGAAGAGAAATTTATATCCAAAAGTATTGGAGTCAGGGTTCAGGAGAGTCATGGAAACTCATGGAGTTCTTTTGGCACCGGATCCAGTTTCCTAATGCATCTTGATAATGTACCAAGGGGTCGATTATGTTCTTGAGAATTCAATAAAGGCAGGTTACTTTTGGGTTCTTACCGCACGATTTGTAACTTCTTAGCCTTGTTACCCAAAATCACAGGGCAGCAAGTGCTGGGGCGCAGGAGCAGCGGAGCAGCCAGGCAGGCATATCTGTACTGACCCTGCTCCGGCGCTGCGCTCCCTGGGCGGGGCGGGCCGGGCCGGGCTGGACTGCGCTGGGCTGGGGCCGCCGCTGCTCTCTCCGCACCCACTGTGGCTCCTCCCTCCATCGTCACTGCCAGCCTGGATTACCTACAGTGGAGAGCAATCTGAGGTCCGAATTAGCTCAGGGTATCTCTTACTAATGTCCCTCACCCTGGCTCTGGGAAGGCAGCAAACCTCCCTGTGGGATGGGTCTGGTCCACATATAGGGCCCTCAGTTCCCCTCAAAAGGGAGTCACCTACTACAACTACCCTTCTTTTTTTCCTTATAGCTGTAGTTGTAACCCGTGTGGTAGACAGGGTGCAATCTGCAGACAGATCTTCCTCTTGCCTGACCTCTACTTGACTTCCCAAGTCTAAGGCCTCATATCTGTTGTTCAAGGGCACCTGGGGAGGGGATGGGGGTTGAGAGGGTGTTCTTTTACCTCTCCAAACAGGGACCTTTTTCCATTCCCCCCCATCCACTCGGTTTGCTCCATCTGCCTGACAGCAGACAGGACAGGGCGTCACTGTCTCCTGCTGGACTCCTGCTTTGGTTCCAGGAGGGCCTGCAGTGTCACAGTGGCCCCTTGATTCCACAAGGTCTTGAAATGTCTCCGTGTCCCTTTGGTTCCGTGAGGCCCCACATGTCAAAAGGCCCCTTGACTCCATCAGGTTCCACAGTGTCCCCATGGTCACTTCACTCAATAATGCCCTGCAGTGTAAGAATGTCTCCTTGATTCCATGAGTTTCTGCTTTGCCAGTATGGGCCCTTGATTTCCTGAGGTCCACAGTGTCCCAGGGTCCCTTTGTCACCATGACTCTGCAGTGTCACAGTGGCCCCTTGATGCCGTGAGGTTCTGAAAATTCCCGGGGTTCCTTTGAATCCACAAGGCCCTGCAGTGTCACAGTGGCCTTTGAGTCCCCGAGGTTCCTCAGTGTCACAGTGGTCCCTTGATTCTATGAGGTCCCAAAGTGTCTCAGGGCTCCCTTGGTTCCAAGAGGCCCTCCCTGGCACAATGAACCTTGATTGCATGAGTTTCCACAGTGTCCCAGCATTCCTTTGATTTCATGAGGTCCTGGAGCATCACAACGGCCCCTTGATTGCATGAGTTTCCACAGTCTCCCAGGGTTCCTGTGGTTTCATGAGGCCCTACAGTGTCACAATGGCCTCTTAATTCCATGAGTTTTCCCATTGTCACAATGCTCCCTTGATTCCATGAGATTCCACAGTGTCCCAGGGTTCCTTTGGCTCCAGAAGGCCCTACAGTGTCACAATGGCCCCTTTACTCCAGGAGGTTCCACAGTGTCCTTGCTGGAACGCACATGGCTGTAATGTTGTCACCCCTGCAGAGCTGCCTCCAGCTCTGGGATCCCAGCTCAGCAAGGACATGGAGCTGCTGGAGCGAGTCCAGAGGGGACCACCAAGGTGATCAGAGGGATGGAGCAGCTCTGCTGTGAGGAAAGGCTGAGAGAATTGGGATGGTTGCCTGGAGAAGAGAAGGCTCAGGGGTGACCTAATTGTGGCCTTCCAGAGACTGAACGATCCACCAAATAAGGTGGAGAGAGACTATTTACAAGGTCCTGGAGAGACAGGACATGGGGGAATGGCTTCAAACTGAGAGAGGGAAGGGTTTGATGGGATATGGGGAAGGGTGGTGAGGCCTTGGCACAGGTTCCTCAGAGAAGTTCTGGCTGCCCCATCCATGGAAGGTGTTCAAGGCCAGGCTGAATGGAGCCCAGGGTGGCCTGCCAACTGCATTTGAAACCCAAAGGTTACAGGCTTTCTTTCCTGGGGGAAAGACCATGACTTCAGAAAGAGTCCCATGGCAGATGGGTGGGGCTGCACTGTGGGGGTGTGAGGTGTTGGTTTCCAGGGGCTATTCCAGAACAGAGAGGATAGGCCATGACATCACAAATGGGCCCATGGCACATGGGCGGGGCTGCACTGTTAGATTGTATTGTATTTGGTTCTTTGTTTTCCAGGGGCTATTCCAGAATGGAAAGGATAGGCCATGACATCACAAAGGAGCCCTTGGCACATGGATAGGTTTGAACTGTCACATGGTGGGGGTTTGGTTCTGTGGTATCCAGGGGCTATTCCAGAATGGACAGGATAGGCTGTGACATAACAAAAGGGCTGAAAGCACATGGGTGGGTGTGACTGTGCTAGTGTGGGGTGTTGGTTCTTTGGTTGCCAGGGCCTGTTCTGGAAGGGAGAACATAGGCCATGATAGGTAGTGCCTGTCAGAACTGCAAAGATGGACCCATGAGAATCTTATGTGGGGGATATTCTCCACTCTGTCCTGCACACCCTAGTGCTGGGGTCAAAACTCAGCCTCTCCGCTTCCCTCGCGGTGGTCGGCTTCCCCCAGAAAGGCCGGGGGACGGCGACAGGCAGAGAAAAACAAAAAGGCACATGCGGGTCTCGCCGTGCTAACCACGGCCGCCCAGGACTCGGGGCGGGTCCCGCGCCCCTCACTCCCCGCTCTTGCCTCTCACCGCCCCCGGGCGTGCAGCTCACGGCTGGCGGCCACCACCGGCCCCGTTTTCCGCCAATCTCTTCTCCCTGGCGCGCTTAACTGTGCCTGCAGCTTAGGGTCGCGTTAGAAAAAAAAACAACAAAAAGCAGGCCAGGAGGGCGCCCCCACCTCGTCCGCGACCCGGTCTCCTAGGCTGCAGCCCTCTGGCACAGCCGACGCCAGCAGGGCAGGCCCGACCGCACGAGCCGCCCGGCCGCCGTGGCTCCCGCGCCGGCCCGAAAGGAGGGGAGGGACGAGGCGCCGCCGCCTCACCCGCCGCCGTGGAGCCCCCAGGGCCTTCCCTGCGTTCTCTGTCGGGTTCTCCGGTCTGCACGCGTGGCCGCCGGCCACACTGGCCGCCTGGCGCCGCCGTCTTCGGCCTGCTCAACGGGTCCGCGGCTTAGGGTCGAGGAAGGGGGTGAGCAAAGAGGGCCATGGCACACACTGCCGCTGCCCAGCCCGCAAACGGGCAGTCCCGTCACCAAGCCCCTCCGGCAACCGGCTGAGCCGAGGCAAGGCCGCACGCCCACCGACAGTCCCCATCACGCCGCCGACACTGCCACAGTCGACGGCAGAGGACAGGGCGCCGCCGCCTTGGCCCGGACCATCTTCAGGGCTCTCGGGAGGTGACCGGGAGAAGCCCGCGCAGGCTCCACCGCCAAAGCCTAGCCGCCGGCTGCCCGGAACATTGCCCGCCGCACGGGCTCCGGCTTAGGGCCGGTCCCAAAAAGGACGAGACGCCGCCGCCTCGCCGCTATCGGTCTGCGCTCAGGAGGCCCTTGGGGAACTGGCAACTGAGGAGATACTGAAGAGAGAAGAACACAAGAAATGGAGAGCTGTTTATGCCAGATATTAAAAGGACTTGTTATGGACTGACAGACTTTGCATGCTTGGACACAATTGGACAGTTTAAAATGATGCTTGGTGTTTTATTCTAGTTATATTAATTATATTCTATACGAATATATTGTTCCCCTCATGAATTTGTTGTTCCCTGATTGGTTGAGGTTTTCTCTTCAGTGATAGGTTAAAATTTGCCACAGTATGGGTGGGTACAGTTAATGTTGTCAGTTCATCTGATTGGTTGTTGATTGTGTAATGTATTTTGTAACTCCCCTATTGGTTGTACCCTCACATCAATCCTGAAACTCTCCCAAGTTCTAGTCCCTTCCTCCCCGGACCCTATAAAAGACGTGTCCTCCCCTCAGTGAGGGGATGACACCCTTCACCCCTGGGGATCTCCTTCCTCTACCAATAAACCTATGACAGAGTGAAAGAACCCCTGTGTCGTCCGTGCCTTCCTCCCTCACTCGGGCTGCGTCAGGCAACCACCGACGGCTCAGGCTGGAAGCTGGGGGGACCCTGCGTGCCCCTGTGCCGTCCCAGTCCCGCCCTCACTCGCCTCCTCGTGCCTTCCACTCGACCTCTCACCTCTCGCCTCTCCCCTCGGGCTGCCCTGGAGGAGCTGAGTCAGAGCCACGCAACTCCACTTTCTCTCTCGCCTTCTGGCTCCTGGGGTGCCAGCCGGCAACTCGCCCACGCGAGTGGCCACGCTTCGCAGCACACGCGGTGAAACGGTGCTCACCCAACCTGTGCTGCTCGGCAACCCCTGCCCATAGGACGGACAGACGCGTCCTGAGCCTTCCACACCTCCAAGAAGGCCCAGGGAGCTTCACCGGGGAGGCGCGCGAGAGCACGCCGCCTTTTACCAGGACCGTACTGGAGGCGGCGCCCAACAGCGACCCCTTGCATGACTTCCGGGGCCGGCCGAGAGACCAGGTCTACCCCGAGAAAGCCCGCCAGCAGCCAAAGTCCCGCCGGAGCCGGGTAGACCTGCTCGCCTGTTGCCGGGAAGCCACCAGGACGTCAGCCCGCCGTCCCTGGCCACAGCGGCCGGAGCGGCCGGGCTTGGAAGCGGGTAGACCTGGTCGCGCAGAGGAGCCAGCTACACCTGGGCACCCGCCCTCTGACAGGACGCCGCGGGGCCATCGGGCTGCCATCCCTGGCTGCGACCGGGCTCGGAAGCGGGTAGACCTGATCACCCAGAGGAGCCAGCTAGACGTGACACTAGTCTGCCGGCTAAATTCAGACACCAGATCTACCTGCCAAACAGGAGAAACAGGTCTACCCGCAGGGCATGGACACCAGGTCTACCCCTTGAACATCGAGACCAGGTCTATCTGTTAAAAACAGAGACCAGGTCTATCCATTAAGCTTGAGCACCAGGTCTACTCACAATGCATGGAGAGACAGTCTACCCTTAAAACAAAGACACCAGGTCTACCCTTTTGACACGGACACCAGGTCTACCCTCTAAAACCAGAGACAAGGTCTACCCATTTGACTCTGGCAGCAGGTCTACCCCTGAAACACAGACACCAAGTCTACCTTCTGAAAACAGAGACCC